CAAGAAATTGACGTGGAAGACTTTGGTATTCTAAACACAAAGTTTGGAGTAAGGACTGTTCGTGGTCAAAAAACTGAAGTTATCATCCGAGTCGGCTTCCAGGTATTTTTTCGGATTGAGTTCTTGATGTAAATTAATGCGATTAATTTATTCGTGCATAAATTAATATAATCTATAGAGTATCTCAAAATTTTTTCTGAAATTTTTGTTATACACGATCCGCTTCCTCCCGCCACGCTTCCGCACCCGAATTCGATTCAGGAACTAGCAGAGACTTCCTCGTCAATTTCTTGATTCTATTAGGAACATATGTGTTGGCACACTTGAAAACAGAGAAAACAGTTATCACTCTCTCATAGGTCTTCCATGAGCATAAACACATGTACGGTGTGGAATTGGGATTGGAAGAACTTTTCTCCCTTTTTTTCTCCATGAAAACCGGCCACTATAGCTAATAGGAGAGAAAAAATTGTGTTTTCTATTTTTCTACAATCTACTATTTATAGAGAGGCTCTCAGACTTCTATGAAAAATCTACCTTATCTCAAAAGATAAAGTTTCCAGAATTTTAGAGATAGTTTTCCATTTGACTTTTGAAACAAATTTTTCAATCTCTTGGCACTTGTAAAATTTGGCAACAGCAGGGAAATACCTTGTGGTGTGGTGCCACTTGTAGATAAGGATGGGAAATTTTTTTTTTCTCCTTTATTATGTTTCCAATTTTAAACCAAATTCAAAATCTAATTAAAGTCAAACTATAATTTAATTAGAATTTTAATTAGATAATTTGTCCAACAAGTAAATGGATAACTTGGAGAGCAATTAACTGAATCTAAGAGGGATTCTCCCTATTATGGACGTGTACCACATGTGGTCCCCACCACATGTGTGTCCTAAAATTGAATATTAAATAATCACATTATTTAATAAATAATTGATTCTTGATTAATTATTTTCGAGTGGTTTAATTTAGAATTCCATAATTCTAAAATCCTATTTTACTCTCAATCTCTTGTAGAATTACAAGGATGACACAGAGACTCATGAACCTACAATATCAAGCTCCAATAAAATTAATAATTAATTAATTAATTCTATTAATTCCAAAGTTATTGTGTATAAACTTGGAATCACACTCTTGATATTATAGACATTTATTTACATCT